GGGGACCCTTTGGCAAACCTTTACCCTGGGGAGCTTTGTGTCTGCCAGCCAGCTTGGAGGGACTGCCAAGCAAAAAAAACATGGCCTCTCCTCTTTCTTTCGGTCCGGCACTGGCCTCCCCGGGGAAAGCAGAAAGATGCCAGGGCGGGAGGTAGCCTGACGCAAGCCATGCTCAAACCAGGCGCACCTGTAGCCAGCAATGAATTGGCATTGACTGCAGCAAACTTGGTGCCATGAGGAAATTGCAGAAATGGCGGAGAGGGGGGGTGGGGGAAGGGGGGGGCTACACTGAAAAAACTGGATGACGCTTAATGACTGCTCAGTGGAATATTGACCCTGGCTGGCACTTCCTGACATTTTGTCACTTCACAACCCTTGCCGGTCAGCAATAGGGATCCGGGAACTTCATCTTGATGCCAAACCTATGATTTCGACCGTCGCCCGAAAGCTTCCGAACATGCGCACAGGCCAGGCATGGCAATAGATCAAAAGTGCCCCCGACCCAAATAGCAACAAACAACATGTTACAATATCAGCCACGAACCATTCTCAATGCAACTGTGAAACAGAAGGAAAACACAACCAGCTGATGCCAATGCCCCTGCGCAGGCGAACGCGGTCGCAGCCTTTGCCCTGGCAAAAGCCCCAGCATTGAGGTGGTACACGGGTCTTCCTTTGGACACATCAACCATTCCTGGGTTTAAGTCTACCTTCTAGTCCAAGAATGGAACGCCTGTTCCTGCCACATGCGACCAAGCCGGCAAAAAACGTTGCAACAGATCGCTGTCCACGAAACCTCAACCTCCAAAGGAAGCCGTCGAGCTCGAACCTGCAGCCTTCTGCAACCGGGCGCACTGCGTGATTTCGGATTATGTCCGGCCGGCAAAGCGATTCTGCAACACAAGATGCGCATCCCTTGAAAGGCTGGCCTGAAAAGTTGGATTTTTTGGGGAAACTTCCCGGCAATCTCCGCCACCCCTGGCGCGCAAACCCAAAAACCACCCGCGCCTCGCGTCCTTGTGATCCTCCTGTGGGTAGCGCTGAAGAACTTTGACCGGCAGCTTCTGGCCGACCTGTGAGTAGTCGACTGTCGTTCAGATGGTTGCGAAATCCATTTCGCACCACCTAAGAAATCCTGGAATGATGATTCCCTGCAAATACTAACGCGCAATGGGATCTCATGCTTTCAACTTGGTGCAGGATTTCGTCCATCCACAGTACGACCCGCATCCTTTCTGGGCAAGTTTCGCTGCGAATAGATGAGACGGTTCGCTTTCAGCTTGGAGCTACTCGAATAAGGAAGGGAACCAAAAAGCTTGGAGACGCGTTTTCTTGGCAAGGTTTTGAAGCATGTCTTCCTCGAGCACCATTTCTTATGAGGTTCTTAAGGGAGGGGGGCGTAAGGGGGGGGGGGGGTAAATTAGAGTAAATGGGCGTGGACTAGGGAGCCCTAGGGAGGCCTAGGGTCAAATCCTAAATCCGGCTCAGCCCTCATCCTGCTTAGCCGCTTGCCCGCCCACTAAGCTTTTCGCAAAACACTCGGTCCTTTGCGTGTTTTCCAGCAACCCAATTGAAGCTGATTAGTTTTTCTTGGCCCGCTTGCTATGACCAGGGAGCCCTAGGGAGCCCTAGGGAGTTTTAGGGAGCCTTAGGGAAGCTTAGGGAAGCTTAGGGAAGCCTAGGGAAGGGGGAGCCTTAAGGAAGCTTAGGGAATAGGATTTTGAGGGGTTCCGAAAAACCCCGGTAAACCCTGTACTTGGGGCTCACTTTGGGGAACTCACTTTGAGGGGTTCCGAAAAGCCCTGGTGCCAACGACTTTGAATCTTGGAAGGCTGGGGAGCTTAAGGGAGGCTAATAATCTTTTACGGGCCTTTAGGGGTCCTTGCGTAGGAGCGCTAGGGTTTGCTAAGGAGCTCCAGGAAGTGCTAGGGAGTCTTGGGCGTTTGAAATTACCCCCCCCCTTACCCCCCCCTCCCTTAAGAGCCTCATAAATTTCTCTTTCCAATGGAGGATTTGGAAGGCGGAAGCCCCCAAAATCAGCCCTCCTCCTTCCCAGGCCGGGCCCCTGACGCTTGGCAGTAAGGTGTCATCGGCCACACCAACGACAGCAAAGTACCTAGCGCGATGCCGGAGATTCTTTTCGCTTGTGAACCCTTTGCCAAAGGAGTTGGCGAATACTGGGGGCTCATACCTTCTGTGGCCCAGTTCAGGTGAGTGTGTGGTGAATATAGCGCGTGTCTCGGCTCAATTGCTTTCATTTGCAAAAGCCGCCTGCAAAAAGACAATATATCCAGTAGGGATAGATTCCCTTACAAAAATCAAAGAAAAATAACAGATATTCAATTCAGCAAATGGAAGATTAAAGCAGGCTCGGGGGTCAGTAGGCTGCGCAAGCATATTGTCCCTCGTTGGCTTCATCCAGGGAACCTGGTGAGACTCAAGCGATTTTAGCTCTGAAACTCGCTTCAGAAATTCAACAGCCCAACAGAAGAGCTGACACCCTCTGGATGCACAAACTCCTGCACCGGTTGGGATGAATGAAGCCCTACCAAGAAGTTGCCTCACGTATGACACATGTTTTGGGATGTGTCGACCCAAACACAGCCTCGCCTCAATGGGTTTTGGCATTCAACCCCTGCTTCTAGAGGGCAAATGAGAAGCCACCCCATTTCACCTTTCACCACCCAGCTCCAAAGCAGCGTACCTGACAGCCTCCGTCCGAGGTGAAAAACCAAACAACAACTCACTGAGAGCTCAGGCTTGATGGCATTCTGCGGCAAGCCGCCATCCATCAGAGCGACTCCTGGCGTCGAAGTCTCGTTTGCTTCAAAGTCCCAAACATGGATGTATGTGTGTGCGACTTTTTCGGTTTTGCGAGGCTACTCTTGTCAAGTTGTTTGATAGGGCCACCAAACGGGCGGCCGAGATGAGCTTTCTCATGTCGACATCGGTTTCCGTGGGCTTCCTGGAAAAAAGGGGAATCATATACACCTTCTTAGGGGCCCCTCGTAAAATTGTGGTTGTCCCCTTTGGTTTTCCCTTACCACCACAAACCAACCGGCGTTTACATGACATATGAACAGCGCGCAGAGATGGAAGCCTCCGGATCCCACTACACTAGAAGCGAGTGGCGACCCGGACTCGCAGCGAACATGGTGCCGAAGCCCAGAAGACGACATGGGTGTGGTGGCCAAAAACTAGGGCAACCCCAAGATGGGTTGGGAATCCATGGTAAATGGAAACATGACTAAAGCCTGCGGTCTGATAATTGAGTTTTGACCCATGCCCAGACGTACATATGTATATACATATATGTGTGTATATGTATAGTTTCAAGGCAATATGTCAGGCTTCTCTAGGAGTCTTGACGCCGAAGTGCAATGCCATGCCTTTTGCACAACGCATTGGGACTCACGCCACGCAAACCCCGAATCGCCCTGCTCCGACCACCGATCACAAACCCCTATCGCGCTTTTTGTGCGACCCCTCCCCCTCCCCCCGGGGCCTGTCTTCGGGCCATCATTGACGAGAGAAACAACTAGACCTCTGGCACGCGGCTCAGAGCTTGGGTTGGGCCATCAAACTGCATCAGACTGCTTCCTCTGCTTCATTCGATCTATTCCGCGTGGCTCATTTTTAAAACGGGCGGCCCTACGCTGCGGGCCATGCAAAAACAGGTGATGGCGCCGGTTCGACAAGCGCATCGCCCACGACCTGACCTGCCAATGTGTTCATGTGCTGCTTGCTGAATTCAAGGCTGTGCTTTGGATTGGTGAGGGACCTTCGCCCTCTCCACCCTGTCCTGCCGGGATGTCAACAAACATTTGATTTCCCTTGCCACCCTTGGCCATATTATAATGTTAGTTCTGCCAGAAAACGGCCCACCTTCCTGCCCTCCTCGGCTTCTCTGCCGAATCTCTTAGCTGGGGCACCTGCCCGTCAAGAAATATCAGGGAATGCAGCGGACAATCTGCTAAGCCATTTTGGCCTTCTTTCCGGCATAGTGAAACCGAGGTGTTAGCATCAGAATGACTTCATTCCCACCCTCCTCCCCCCCGGTGCTACAACTGTGCCCTGGTGCAATGCCACCCCCAACTGCACACTCTCGCAGGGGCACAGTGGCTGACCAGTGAGCTGCCCCTCTTGCCCAGTGTAACTTGCCTGACACGTCCTGACAACCTCCAGCCCACCCCCCTTTGCTGGGAGGGATGTCCCAATCCCACAACAAAATGCCCCCGCTCCTGACAAAACGTGCCCGGTGGTTTGGTGGTAAAGCGGCATTTCGGAAGCCTTCCCAAATCCGCAAACCACAAATCTGAATCACCAAATGGGTGTTGCCTGAGCTTTGACATACTTTGGCGAGCCCTCACTTGCTTCGAGGTCGATTTCTGTTTGCCGCGCGTCTCCGAGTCCAAATCAAAGCCCCTTAGGGGCCATGAAGTAGGCTTCTTTGTCTGATGAAACCAAGCACCGGGACACGACAAAGAGAGAACAAGAACATCCAGCTTCGGAAATGGAAGCAAACTCATCTGAGTGGTGGGTCCAGAGTCCAGACACCTCGGCCCATGTCAAAATCACGGCAAGGCTCGCCTCCCAAATCACAATTTGCACGGCACAGCCTGCCGGTGCCGTCCGACACAGCATGCGCCTGTTCAGGGCCCATGCTTCATGGGACCCGCCCAACAAGCTGGCTCCATACAACCGGCTCGTTGGCTCGGCGCGTCGGCCGAAGCCGAAGCTGTGACAGGGGTGCTCGCCTCGCTGGCGGAAAGTGACAGGCTGAGAGCTCGACATGGCTTCCTCAGGGCAAACACGGGCTGCTGGTTTTTACATCTGCGGCCACTTTCGGCCCCTGTGGGCCTTTGGGAGGTGAGCTTGGAACTAATCTAGCACATGCGCTTCTAGGTCCTCCAGTCGAGAGGATAGAAGAAGGGTGCCAACTGTTTTTTCTGCAGTCTAGTGTAATAGGGGAACCCTCCCCAAAAACAAAAACGGTAAAAGCGGACCGATCGCTGGGGCACCTAGGCTCGCTTTCAAGCAATGGGCATCTCCAAACTGGCTCCGCCGCTTCGCGGCGAAGCTCTCAGCCAGGGCGAGCTCAGTGCCCACAAAACTCCACAGGACAGGAGGCTCCTGGCAGTGCGACGGGCAAAGAGTTCAGCCAGCCATGGGCTAAATCGCTAAGCTGATGTAGTGGGCGGCTTCCATGAGGGAATGGCTGACGCAACCAAAGACCAAGCACTTCAATACGGCAAGCCCGGCGTCCTGGGAGAAGCTTCACTGCAAGTGTTGCCTGAGGAATACAAAAGAGCAATCCAGCGAAAGCTGTCGAGAGCCGAGCTTCTAAACAAATGGTTCTTTAGTGAACTCCTCTTGGGGCGAGCTTGCATCAAACCTGGCAAAGTGTGTACCCCGGCTTCCACATGGGCCTGGTCAAACATATGGCTGCCATTCTGCCGGAAGCATGCTTCGACACGGTGCCCAGCGCACGGCCCAGAAAGCAGCTGGAAAGGTGGAAGGTCCCGAACGTGAGGCTTCACAACATGAGGCTGCTGGGAACCAGCGCCCTTCGCGGAGGACTTTGGCCGTGCCCCTTTTTCATGGCCGCAACGCATGGTGGCCCAGGGCCCCAGGGCCCCAGGCGTTGTAGACATCCACGATGGAAAACAAGGGGCCTTCGCCTCGGCGTGGCGTCCAAATGCCAAATTCCCGGCACCGAGCTTCTTGACACTTGTTGCTGAACCGCAAGGGGCTCTAATGACCCAGGAAACTGTTTGCAAGGTTGTGCTGATGCGCAGGGCTCTTTGTTTGATCATGGCCACGGCTCTTTTTTAATAGAAACCCATTATGCCCTATACTGCCTCTACTACGTAAGGTTCAACCATCCCAGCCAACCCCACCGTGGCACAATATATTGGATTGAGAATTTGGCACGTAGCATGCCGTGCAGTCATGTGCTTGCATGTGCGTGCATCAAGCGCTGCCTCGAAATCAATGCAATTGCATTGGACATGTGCGCTGTGTCTGCCAGACCTCGACAAGCACCACAAATCAAGCCGGATGTTCAGTGAATAGGCAAGCCCCACTATCCTGTATGAACCTGTACAAGACTTGCAGGTGCCTCAAGCCTACCCAACGGGTAAACCGCTAAAAAGGACCACCTGTGCGCATCCCCCCCCCCGGGCTGTGCCACAAACACGTAGTCAATTTTGCAGACTCAACCCCGCAAAGCCACGCAGCGCCATCTATTTTCAACCAAACTGACCTGAAAAAGCCACCTATGGACCCTAGGTCTCCGCACCTCCCCCCCAAAAAACAACAACACACACACACACACACACACACAGCGCGGCAAGGGCTCCCAAACCGGGAGAAACAAAAAGAAGAAAAAACCGCCGCGGCCGCGGCCGAGGTTGGCCGCTTTCAGCTCCGCGCCCGGCACCCGCGCCGCCTTCCCAGCGATCCCGGCCCAAGGTCAGGTGTGGGATATCCCACCCTAGGTCCTCCAGTAGAGAGGGATCCTTGATTTGGTGGCTTCCCTTTATTTTGGTATTGAAAAACACATGTTTCAAATGGGCAACATGTATCTCTTAAGGAGCCCTGGTAGAGAGGGCAGAATAAAGGTACCAACCTTTTTTCGGTAGTCTGGTTTAGTAGGTGAACCGAATCTCCTAACCAAAAAAGAAACGGTAAAAGGGCACTGCTGGGGGACCTGCAACCACTTCTATGATTCTTTCGGGAAAATATCCCCCTTTATATGGGCTTGTCTTTGGGGCTAGGTTTTTGTTGTTGTATCACAGAAGTGGGCTCCGTTTCCTGCAATGCTTCCAATAGAATGGGTTGGCAGAACAAAACAGCATTCCGTGTTGCTCTTTCAGGTTAAACAACTCACTTCCCGAGTGGATTGGTCAGAAAAAAGCAAAGCAGCCGAACTTGTCACTAACCACGAAAATGGTCCAACTTTAAAATGTGACTCAAGTCCATGAACTCAGGGAGGGAGTAGAAATCTCATTCGAAGCATTTCATGTTGATTTCATCGAAAGGGGAGAAGGGCTTCGTTTTTCAGTGGGACCTATCAAAAGTCCAATTCAAGATGGGAACTTGGGAAACCAGTGCCTGGAAGTTGTCGGTTTGGCCCCGAAAAAGCACTCCGTCAAATGCCAGGCGTTAAAGAGAGGTTTTGGGGTTCTTTGGGACAAGGCTCTTAGGCCTCTGAAACCCTTCTGGGTGGTCTAGGGAGGTCCAAGCTATCAGTCCTCTGCGTCATGCGGTGAACGTCGACTTTAGCTCGGCGGCAGATTTGATGTGGCGTATGCCAGGTTGGCCTGTAGAAAGAACGGCTGCCAAGGACTCACGGGCTCTGACCTGAACATGTTTCTTCTTCGGAAACTCTGAAGCAAAACGAGCTGTCAACACCCTGCAAGCCGCCCGCAAAGAAACGATTCCCGCTCCAAAAGCCCTCGAACGGTAACGGCCTAGCATGACAGGCATCCCCGGCATGCAAAACCAAAGTTAGCCAACTATGAAGGACATGTCATGCTGCACGAGTGTCATTTGTTTTTGCCCGGGGGAGCTGAATTATCCGTCCTTCACATCAAATTGAGACACCTTCCACAAATTGGTTAGGATGACAATATGGCTGTGGGTAAAAAATAGGTACCCAAAATGGAACCCTGGTAAATGGAACCAAGGACTAAAACCTGCGGTCCCCTGGTGGTTTAATTTTGACCCATGCCCATATGCGACTTAGCTCACTAAAGTCCAATCAGGAAGTGAGCCAATGAAACAGCTTGCTGTCCACCTCAAGGCCATCCACGTAGACCACGAGGTCCTGGCTGTAGCCTGGCGAGCATGAGGACTGACTCCATACATTCTGGCGTATGGCCCCCCAAAAAAAACAAAGACGTGCAACAAACATAGGTGGCCTTTTGGAAAATAGATGGCCCTGGTAAATGGAATAAACCCCGTCTAAACCAGTGCCATCCATTCTTAGCCAAACTAACCTAAAAAGGACACCTCTGGTAACAAAAGTAGGGTCTGTATTTCCTACCGGGGGGAGGGGGCTGTGCGTCCCCAATTCCATTTCCCTAGTCTTCCCCATCGGGAAAATGGGTTGGGGGATTCCGACCCCGATTCCATTGAGGGGGTGGGGATCTCCCTGTATGCTCTTGGCAGCGATGCTGAACCAAACCATTGGCGAGTAAAAGGCACGGGGCGAAGGCAGGTGACTTGGGGATGTACGGCTGGGCCAAGTGAAGTATGGATGCGCTAGGTTGGGCTCTGAGTAAATGTAGCTTGATTCAGCTGTCAAGCAAGAACAACCTAGTTGCACACACAAACGTGGCCCCGTCTCAACATGTTTTTTTACTGGGCCAAATCGCTTCGGCAACTTCAAATATCTGACCACCGTGACTTCGGCACATTCGAAGCTCGGAGTCCAGGCATGGCAGCCACACAAAACTCTAGACCTTAGGGTTTGAATCCAACCGAGTCCGTGCCCATCCGAGTCTTGCCAGGAAGCTCAAAGATCAAAGTTGAAAGCACGTGTGCTGCATTTTTGTAGGGGTTGATTCCCTATTCTTTTCAACCATCGTTCTTTCCAAACACCGGATCCGTTTGCCCTGGAAGTTCCGGGGATTTCTAGAAAGGAGGATCCCTGGAAAGAATGGAAATGGAAGGTACCCCTAGAAAAACCAACTTGCGGGTCTCACGGGATGGCGGCAAACATGCCGAGATAATACTGTGGATGGACGGAATCCATTTCGCACCAGCTAAGAAACCCTGGAAGGATGATTTCCCGGTGAATGCCGACAAAGAATGGTTTTCCCTCTTTCATTTGGACCCTTGGAAACAATATTTCCAGTAGTGATGGATGCTCTTTAAAACCAACAGGGGAAAATAAAAAGAACATATTCCTAAGCATAGGTGTCCTTTTTGATTGTTGTGGTGGAAAAATAGATGGCCCTGGTTTACCTGGTGGTTTAATCATCTACCAGGGCCATCTATTTGCCCCACAAGGACACCTATGTTCCTAAGCAAATGGTTTTTCCAAAGTGGTGCAGGATTTCGCAACCATCCGCAGTATTTCTGCTTGGGAAGTGCTCGCGTCTGCGCCCATCCCCTGAGGCAGATGCTGGCGATGAGAAGGCCCACGCGCTGTCCAGCTGGCGGAGGACGCTGGGCTGTTGGAGTAGTGCTACTTCCATTTGCTTCTTCGCCCCCGGGAACAAATGAAAAAACAATTCCAGTAGTGATAGTTCCCCCGCGATTTTGTCGCCCAACGGCACCCTGATACTGATCAAACATATATAGGGATTTACGTGTTTTGTGTGTGTGTGAGTGTACTTGTGTGTTGGAAGTCTTCCATTTGCTTAAGAAGGTGTTTTTCTCCCTTGTTGGTTTTAAAGGGGAATATCTGGCTAAAGTATCAGCTTCAGATGGGAGCTCAGCGGCTTGGCTCGACGTTGCCAGCGGGAACATGCTGTGAGAACCCCAAACTGCGCCCACTTCAGAATTCCAAACTATTGAAACTCGTTGCCAGCGATAAAGTTCGCTGGAATGACCACCCCCAGCATGCCCTCCGCTTTAAGTTTCGCGTGTCTCGCTCATATGGGTGTCCTTTTGCAGGCGCCCGGCTTTTGCGAATTTGCGAGGAAACCAAAACAAACGCCGAGGACCACATGCGACGCTCATATCCCTGGCCTTTGAGTTGCTCTGGCTGCCAATCAATGGTGCCTTCCCTGCCATTGAGGTACCGGGCTCCTGGCGCAGCACAATAGGCAGGAACCAAAAAAAAAAGAGCACGCCGTTTTGAAGGCTGTTTGCATAGAACTCGTGGATCCATTTGGAGCCTCAGGCTGACGTCGCATGAAGCATGAATCAGTTGTTGAAGCCTCGGTTGCAATTGCGCCCGTTCCTTTGGACTAGCTCGTGCCCCATTCTTGGTCAACGCCAGGTTGGTGTTTTGTGGGAACAACACTTCCCTGGATGATCGTTGAGCCTACCGAGCAAAACCAAGTGATTTCGTAGAGGACAAGCAATGATGGCAATCACGATTCATCATGACAAGAACTTTGCCCACAGGGGCTCGCAGAATGTCCGAGCAAACTGTCGAGCTGCCGTCATTCGCGCTAAGGCTTGCTGCGCCCACCAAGGTGATTCCTATCAATCTCGGAAACAGAATTGGAACATACCTAGTTGAGGGCCCAATATGTCCAGTAGCAAAAACATCTTTTTAAAACCAACAAGGGAAAATCAAACATATTCTTCAGCAAATGGAAGATATGTCAACAAGTTCTTCGTAGCTATAGAGCCGGAGCTTGAAACTATCCAATGCCCTAGGCAATTCCAATGAGTGTGGCGATGCAACCATATCTCTAGCCTGGCTGTGTATTCTCCTTAGGACGTGCGGAAAAACCCTGTATCGGAACGGTCCACCCAAAACCATGTAAGACATTGAAAAGGCGGATATCCGCACCCATTTCTGGCTGGGATTGTCCCCTGCTACCCTCCACTTGCCTGGATTTTTACAGCGACTTTTTGTGCAGGTGGCCATGGGGCAGAACCTATGGCTCCATTTGGAGGTGGATGAACATCCATTTGCCATCTATGATGTTCACCAGGAGTTTCCTGGGTTTTGACTCACAGCCAGCTGAGTATGAGACCCGCCCCGCAGTTGACTGCTACCACGTCTCTGGCCACGCGCCTGTGTAGCCCACAATGAAGGTGCCCGGCACTCGCCAGGCTTTGTCCGGCACCCGCTGATCCCGGAGCCCGCCTCGAGCTGAAGGAGGGTCACCCGTTTTTCCGGTCATGGGAGGAACAGCTACGCTGTTCAGTTGAAAGGTCCTCAGAGAGGCTAGAATAAGGGCACCAACTTTTTTCTGTAGTCTATTTTAGTGGGGGAACCCTCCCCCAAAAAAGGGTAAAAGGGCACTACTGGGGGACCTAGCAGTTGAAACACAGGGAACAACTAGACAGGTGGCCCAACAGCATGACCAAGGTGTAGGCAAGAGCAGACTGGCGCAGCCCAATCAAAGGCTTGCGTGCTTTGTACCTATGCGCAAGCTGCAACAGCGCCCGAATCTGCAAACACGAGAGAAGACATGTCACATGCTTCTCTGAGCAAGTTTTGCTCAGCAAATGTCGGGTGTTTCTTTCAATAGGGGACGCGTTGGTGGACCTCATTTAGGTGGCGATTGCCTTTGGAAGTGGTTCCCTGGTAAAATTACTAGCCTCCCCCAAGGGCACTGCGTAGCAAAGCTAGTTGGCCGAAGCGTCAATAACGTTTCAAAGCCGAAGGTGGACAATGTGCCACCCCTATGTGTGGCCATGTCAGGCAGAGCAAATCCTCACATCCATCCCATGTGTGAGTGTGTGTGTGTGCGTGTGTGCCTGTATGTGCGTATGTTGGTATGTGTGTATCTATCTATCTGCCTATCTATCTAATTATCTATCTATCTATCTATGCATGTATGTACGTATGTGTCTTTCTATGCGTGCATATATATATATATATATATATATAATAAATGTGTGTCTATGTGTGTGCGTGTCTGTGTGTCTGTGTGTGTCTCTGTGTGTGTCTGTGTGTGTCTGTGTGTGTGTGTGTGTGTGTGTGTGTGTGTGTGTGTGTGTGTGTGTGTGTGTGTGTGTGTGTGTGTGTGTGTGTGTGTGTGTGTGTGTGTGTGTGTGTGTGTGTGTGTGTGTGTGTGTCTGTGTGTGTCTGTGCGTGTCTGTGTGTGTCTGTGTGTGTCTGTGTGTGTCTGTGTGTGTCTGTGTGTGTCTGTGTGTGTCTGTGTGTGTCTGTGTGTGTCTGTGTGTGTCTGTGTGTGTCTGTGTGTGTCTGTGTGTGTCTGTGTGTGTCTGTGTGTGTCTGTGTGTGTCTGTGTGTGTCTGTGTGTGTCTGTGTGTGTCTGTGTGTGTCTGTGTGTGTCTGTGTGTGTCTGTGTGTGTCTGTGTGTGTCTGTGTGTGTCTGTGTGTGTCTGTGTGTGTCTGTGTGTGTCGGTGTCTGTGTCTGTGTGTGTGTCTGTTTGTGTCTGTGTGTGTGTCTGTGTGCGTGTGTCTGTGTGTGTCTGTGTGTGTGTGTGTTCGTGCGTGCGTGCGTGCGTGCGTGCGTGCGTGCGTGCGTGCGTGCGTGCGTGCGTGCGTGGGTGTCTGTCTGTCTGTCTGTCTGTCTGTCTGTCTGTCTGTCTGTCTGTCTGTCTGTCTGTCTGTGTCTGTCTGTGTGTCTGTCTGTCTGTCTGTCTGTCTGTCTGTGTCTGTCTGTCTGTCTGTCTGTCTCTGTCTGTCTGTCTGTCTCTGTCTGTCTGTCTGTGTCTGTCTGTCTGTCTGTCTGTCTGTCTGTCTGTCTGTCTGTCTGTCTGTCTGTCTGTCTGTCTGTCTGTCTGTCTGTCTGTCTGTCTGTCTCTGTCTGTCTGTCTGTCTGTCTGTCTGTCTGTCTCTGTCTGTCTGTCTGTCTCTGTCTGTCTGTCTGTCTGTCTGTCTGTCTGTCTGTCTGTCTGTCTGTCTGTCTGTCTGTCTGTCTTATGTATGTGTGTATGAATGTATGTACGTATGTATGTATGTATGCATGATGCATGCATGCATGCATGTATGTATACGTAGGTGGGCAAGTGGGTAGGCGGGTGGGTGGGTGGAGGTGGGCAGGTGGGCAGGTGGGCAGGTGGGCAGGTAGATAGGTAGGTCGGTAGGTAGGTTGGGTTAGGTTAAGGTTAGGTTCGGTTAGGTAGTTGTGTGTGTTTTCCTTCACGCCGCATGTCCTTGGACAAGCCAGGAAAACCATCACCTGCCATCAGTGAGCCCCGCGCGAGGGTCGGCATGGGTGACGCCTATGCCCAGCCTCGGAAAACAGGGGGGGGAGGGCCCAAAACAACTAGGGCCTTGCGAATGGACAACATGCAACTGGCCAAAGCGTCTACAACCAAGAAATGGATCTTGCAAATGCCAGGTCCTCCAGTAGAGAGCTTAGAATAAGGGTACCCTTTTTTCTGTAGTGTATTTTAGTAGGGGAACCCTCCCAACCAAAAAAGTTGGGAGAGCAGGGCACCTAGCTGGGGGATCTTGCAAATGGATTCATTTTCTTGCTTCATGACAAGAGGCGGAGTCGTAGCGCCCTAACAACTTGTCAGAGAAAGTTTGGGGGTCGGCCAAGCTTAGAACCAAAACATAGATGAGAAGGAATTGCAGCTGCGGAGAGAACCCCAGCCCGTCGACACTTTCTTTTGGCGGAATAAATCATCAGAGATTGTAGGCTTGGAATATGTGAGGCTTCCAGCTGCAACCCCAATGCTTTCAGGCGTAGAAGCCAACCACAACTGGACCTGGACTGAACCTGGACCCAACTGCACTAAACCTGGAGAGCAACCAGAAGCGAGTGCCGGGAAAACTCAGCCTGCTGCCCGCCGAGCCAGCCGTCCACTGTCTGGCAGACCTACGACGTCTGCCATGCGGAAAGTGCCCATGGCGGAGTAGGGCCGAAACAATTCATTGGACACAGCAGTAGCCTGTGATGAGAATCTAATTTGGGGGTTGGTCGGTGTTCTGTTCGGCCCCGAATGACCAAGGGTAACTTCCCCCATGTGGTTGAAACATCATCTTTTCAGCGGTTTCCTCCAATGGTTTTCCCATTGTCTCCCGGCACTTTTGGTCAACCTCCGTTTCTTGAGTGCTCTTGACCCCCCTGCAAAAAGTTTAACTTTTTCGGGGATTCAGTGGAAAGCCCCTTTATTTCCCAAAAAGTTAAAGTCTAAACATCCAACCCAATAGCAGTCAAGGTTTCTTAGGCCCTGTTAGACCCTGTGCGGCAAGCTGAGCCTAGTTGTGCCAACGCGAACGTCAGAACTTCCGGCCTCCACCTCGAAGAAGTGGCCCGCCGTTTGCTTGGCCAAGGGGCCCTTGCCAATGGCCACTGACCTCGGTGATTTCAGTCAGCTGGATCCGGACGTGCTGCTGCCAAGCGAGCTCCAGAAAGTCTATGTCGATGTTCTTACCAAACAGGCGTCCCTTCATGAATAACTGCCTTATGTTCTGTGTTGATTTTTGCATCCCACTTTATCCCACTTGTTTTGTTTGGCATCGCATTCTCTAGGGGCCATGAAGGGGGAGATCCTCCCCTGGCCACCTCACCAAGCTAACCCCACTTTGACACTAGGACTTGTCGCGAAGAATATCTACCCCTCAACACTGGACAGAGTCCCCGCTCCCAGCCGGATAATTACGTTTTTGTTTTTCCGTCCCGAGGTAGCCAGGTACTGCCAAACTCATGCGAACCCGTTAGGTCAGACAAGGTAATTTCCGGGGGCGAGCTGCGCAAAAAGCGAGGAGTTGCTTCACGAAATGGGCTTGTCTCAAAATGGGGAACCTGCAAAATGGTTGTTTTCTTTTTGGTTTCCCTTTAAACCATAACCAAATGGGATGTCCCAAAAGCAAAGACAACCCCCAAATGCCTGGAAGAAGACCTCTTTTGCATTTGGCGCATTTTCCAGCCACCATGGTGGGGATCTGGGGTCCCCGCTCACGGCAGCCACAGCTTCTGGTGGCTGTGTACCCATCTGGGGACAGCAGGATGTTCAAGCCCACCACGTCATGGCCTGAGCGCCGAGCGACTGGAGAGCTTTTCGGCCGTCTGTTGGCCGAAGCTATGAAAGAGGTGGAGAGTCCTCATTTCAACTTGCTTCGAGTGAGTGGATTGGGCTCAAGAAGTGACCAAACTTGTTCTTTACCACTAAAATGGTCTTCCGTCTCAAAAAGTAACCAAACTTGTTCCTTACCACTAAGATGGCCTTCCCAACAAGTAAAAACGAAAACTAAAAAACTCACAAACTCAGGGACTGACTCAAACATGGCTAAGCTTACAAAGCCTCACGGAGTCTCATCAAGGCTTTGCTGCTCCGCCCCCTGGAGACAATGGAGGAAATATTTCCAGTAGTGAAATCGATTGCCTTTTAAACCAAAAAGAAACGTAAAACATCAGTAAATGGAAGCCAAAGAATACATCCACTTCCCAGAATGGCCAAGCTTGCGTCACCAAGTCTCTTAGGCAAGACAAAGGACACCTGTGCCGAGCGACAAGCTGGAACAAAAGGGTGGCTCGTTTGCTTTGGGAATCGGACCACCCAAAAAGGTGGTCCAGTGGGCATCCTTGGCGCGGCCCAAGACCAAGTTCTGACGAGGCCAACAACGGCACTGGTGCAAGTCCTCGACCAAGTCCTCGACCCAGACAACAAGACATGTCCAAACAGCCCTAAAGTGTGCGATTCATTTTTCAAGGTCTGTGCTTTTGCTAGTGCCATGGGAGCATTCTTACATGCTGCAGGCCGCTGCACATTCAACCAAAGACTCCTCAACAGGCGCCCCCAATCGCCATGGAATGGACTCCTTCTGATCTAAGGTCGCCACGAAATGCCATGCCGCGTCGTGGAAAAAATGTATGAGTATCTTTGGATTAGCTGTATGCAGTGATGCCTTTACCGATGCAGAAACAAAAGTAAGCACTACAACTCCATGAGTCTTCTTTCAGATTACCTGGAAACTGAAAGTGCCTTGGAAGCCGATTTCTCCGACTCAGAGCGCCTCCAATTGGCCAAAGTCAGGGTTTTAGCTTCAACCAAACGTGGAACGGAACCCATAGCAAGGACACAAGCCACATGGGTTCGCCCCCACCCCCCCCGTTTTTGTTTTCTCCCCCCCCCCAAACCCAAAAATAAGTGTTAACACCAAACAAAAACGTGTTAAAGCAAAGCCACGCAAGGCCCACCCCGGGCTCCCTGCAAAAAGGCGGGCAAGAAGAGGTGTTCCTCATTTTTGGCCGTTCAGCTGAAGTGACGACGAAACCCTTGCGCATTGAGTCCCGCAAAGAGGTGATCCGCAAGAACTGTGACTAACGGCGGCCTTCATGGTGATAACACATCTCACGGGATCGTCTTTGTCTGATGGCGAGTGGAAAGCCCACCCTATTCCGGGACAATGCCCACTGGTGTCAGGAACAAGTTTGATCTTTTCAAACATGGGCGGGCCTATTGTGGAAAGACACATGAGGCTTATTGAGCTCCCCCAATTCCCACGGATCCCTAAATCCCCCTAACGCATCAGCTGCAAAAAGCGAGGGAACCAACGGCCCCCAAAAAACCCATCGCCTCTCTGATGTCAGCGCGCGATTAGTACCCCCCCCTCGATTCAATTTTTCCCATTTCCCTCCCAGTACTAAGAATTATAAAGGGCCAACAAGGTTTGCGCAAAAAAAAACTTGGTATTTTTCAGATTTGCCGGAATGCTTCAAGGCATAGAGGTTGACAAAGCCCACAAGCACTCGCACCCGTGAATTGAATCTTTGGCTCTCGGAACATTGGGCGGCCGAGTGGCCCCTTGACACCGAACCCTCCACTCCGGGCAGGTCTTGATACCAAACCAAAGCCGCGAACCCAGAGTGTGCAATCGCAAAGGGTGCCGGAATGCGCTGCTATGCCTCGAAAACATGAAAAAAGGCACATGCTTTCAGTTCTCATATGGCCAAACGGCCAAACAAAGGCAACAACTGCAAATGCAAATGCTGTACCGGACCAAAAAAAAACGTGGGCCGGGCACGTGCAAAGTTGGCTGGGTCCTTGAGATGTCTATCTATCTGACAGAAAGAAACAGCGAGTCGTGACAAAAGGCCTATTTTGGAACTGGCGGAAAATCCAACATCTTACCTTCAGCAACACGAAGCGTGCTGCAAAAGGATCCAATCCTGGCCAATAGACTCTGTTTGAGTCTGAGGGCGGCACATAGTGGGAAGCGGCTCCGAATGCTCTACCTGCTTGCGAAATCTGGCTGCTTATAGTCTTGCTGCTCTTAGCCGCAACACAAATGAACAGGGCTGTGGGATCAAGGGGTTTATCCCCGCTTCTGTGATACAAGGGAATCCCATCTTTTTATGGCGGGGTAGTCTTATGAGGGACCTTTATCTTGTATCGCCGAAGTGGGCATTTCTCACGGCCCTGCAAAATGAAGCACTACACAATGCAAGCAGGAGCCTTGACTTCAAGGCTTCTGCAATGACAACTCTTCGAATCCAAATCCCCCTCAGCAGTGTGCAGGCCCTGAGAAGCAGGTTTGATTTGAGAGGCATGTTCGGGACTTGGTGAGGTGGTTGGACCAGCTTGCAGGGTGCCGCCAAGGTGTGCGGACCAAACGGGTTTGTCTTTTCTTGCGGCTCCCCCCTCGTTTTGAAGTTCAGGTGGCTTTAAAGGAAGACCCGAAGTTGAGCATTGAAGCCATTCGTGGGGGGCTATGGAACCTTGACAAAAAGATACACCCAGAGCAAACTGCAAGACATCAGACATCAAAGCCAAGCAAAGCTTCGGGTTTCAGGTCGGCCTCCAGCACTCCAGCATGGCGCTGCAGCTCGGCGACCTCAAAGAAAGACAGACGAGGAAAAAAGAGCATGGTGCCTTCCCTTGCCGTATTCGCCCCTGGGAAAAAAATAAAATTACTTCCAGCAGTGAAATCGATCCCTCT